TCATAATATTCCAGAACAATCTAGGCAGAACACCTCACATAGCATAAGCACTCAATGTGTGTCTTCTGCTCAGGAATAAAAATAGCTCAGGAAAGAATGAAACACATTCTGTAATGTGTAGAAGAAGCTTACTTGAAGAGGAAGACATAAAAAGCCTTGTCAAACAAGGCCTCAATCTCTGACATTAAATGAAAAAGAAATGTCTACTATTTCACAGTTGGTCCTTTTTAGGCACAAATTTTCAAAAAAATAAAATAATCATGAAACAATGGAATTGGTTGAATAATGAACCAGAGTGGCATTGATAATATGTAGACATATGGGAGATGCTCGAAAACCAACTCTCTATTCTCTAAAGAGCCAGCTGACATTTTGAGGTATCAGTCTAGAGCAGTGATTCTCAACCTTTTTAATGCCGCGACCCCCAACCGGTCGTAAGTCGAGGATACGTAAGTCAACTGGTGCAGCACCGTTTGCAGAATGGGACTTTTGGCAGGCTCAGCAGGGCAGAGACAGCCTGGACATTTCCTATTGGCTTTTGAAAGCCAATAGAATTAGACTCTATTCAAGAGAGACTATTCTATTGGCTTTCAAAAGCCAATAGAATAAAAGGGAGTAGCACAGCTAAGGAAAAGGGGGGGAAATGGCAGACTGCGTTGTTTGGCGACCCCCGTGAAATGGTTGTTCGACCCCAAATGGGGTCCTGACCCACAGGTTGAGAACCACTGGTGTAGAGGTCTTTTTAAGCTCTGTCTCGCTTCTACATTAAAAATCCCATCTTCTAGCCCTGTCCTTTTCCTACCTCAAATCCTAGAAAGTCAATGTCATCTGAAATCCATTGAAAGAACAGGTTGAAAACATTTTGTTGTTGGGAGCTCTTTTTCACAAAGCCTTGGAAGACTTCAAGAAGTTTGAGGATGACATGATATTTCTGGAAAAATGGAGGCTATTTGTTTTAGTTTACTTCTTCAGGTATTTTCATATAAAATACATGCATTGTATCTAAAAAAGGTTAACACTTAATTGTTACCACTTACAGTAGTTGCTTCTGCCCTTGATTATTATTTTTGAAATGTATCACTGCGCTTTCAAATTCTGGCAGTATAATTTTGAGATGATAGTTCGTAGCATATTTCTTGACTGCTTGTTCCTTTACTGCTGATGAAAGCCAATAGAATAGACTCTCTTGAGTTGTCCAGGCTGTCTCTGCCCTGCTGAGCCCGCCAAAAGTCCCATTCTGCAAACGGTGATGCACCAGTTGAGTAGTCCTCGACTTACAACCAGTTGGGGGTCGCGGCATTAAAAAGGTTGAGAACCACTGCAGTAACGATCATACTAAAACTATTTACAAATTATATTCGAATCATGTAATGAATACTACAAATATTAAAATTTGTTCTCTTTCACTTTTAATGCAATGGTGCCCCCTCTCTGAATTGAGATATACAAGCCATAAGCAAACCAACAAAATACTTATAACACAATTGGAGGCATGTGTTATAAAGAGTTCAAAAACATGCAGCATTTTTTTCAACATGCTTTTTAAAAGAGTAACAAAGGTTTACTTGTGGAGCACATAATGATAGCCAACACAGACACTTGTATACATTAGATACATTACAATCACTGTTAAAACCAATTAAAAAGCTTTATACTAGATCTTTTTTTAAAAGAACAAATATCATATGTAAATTAGGAGGTATTTAGAGCACTATAACATTTACAAAGCAATGGTACTTCCAAATAGACATTTGAAAAGCCAACTATTACCGTAGTAAGTAGATAGAAGAGACAAAGATTTCCTATAAGATAAATTAGCTTTAAATAATAATATAACAGTGGGCTTTGCAAATGAAATGTTTTTACTTTATAAATGGATAGAAATAAAACAGGTTTAGTTCTCTTCTGAGGGAAAGGAGGAGCAGAAAGTTAAGTAAAGAGCTGATGGAGTTCTCCATGTAACTATCCCTACTGTATGAAGGCAAAATCATCAGTACTAAGATTCAAGCTGTCAAATTGTTTGAAAGAGCACTTTGACAATAGTGGTTAACTTGGGGATAGAACATTACTTTTGAGTAGTCCAATTTCTGCAACCAGCTTTAGGATGTTACCAATTTAAATAAGGGCCAGAAGCCCTTGTTTTCTTGTCTTGTCTGAAAGCAATCAAACATTGAAGCATATTCTGGACAGCCCTTCTTCAACTCTAAGTTTCACCTGACATTCTGGAAACCCTGACATATGTCTGGATCTGACAACGTTGTTCTGCTTACTGCTCTGAATTTGGCAGCCAATAATGAATCCTTTGCTTGACTTGTATACTGGACCTTGATCACGCTTTTGCCTGCAACTCAGCTTTGTGTCTTCTTGACTGGTTTTTGACATGAGCCTGAACCCAGTGAAATTGATCAAAGTTTTGATCTCGTGTCATATGTGCTGGAATATTTCAGGATTTCTGTTATTAGAAGTCGAATGCAATGTAACAATGAAAATAAAGCAATCATGAAATTTCTGATAGTATGCAATTTACAATCTTTTGCTGAACCTTTAAGCCTGACTGCATCAACAATAGCTATTCAACAAGCCATTAAGAAGTGAATTTTAAAGCATGATATAACTAATAATTTTGAAATTTTTCAAGTTCGGAATGTCATAAATATCCTCTTTTGATTATGAAATTTGTCTTCCTATGCAAAACTGGAGTCCTTCAACTATGTAGGAACTTCACATCAAGACAACAAATTTAAAATATCGAGAATTTGGGGGAACCTGGACTAATGTGAGAATAAACTGGAAATTTAGGACAGAAGAGAGGAAACGAAATATTCATTATAGCCCCCTCGTAACACTAGAAAGAGATCCTCAATTCATCTTAGTATAGTTTTCATTTTCGTCTCTATGACATTTGAACATTTTGAATTCTATATAGGATTAGAGAACAATATTTGCCATTCATTAAGCAAGAGAAATATTCAGTAGAGCATTCACCAAATGGCCAATAATAAAATGGTGTATGCAATAGTCCACCAGGAAATGACTAAGGCATGAGTAACTGTGAGCAAGGCCTCCTGTCTAGAAAAGGGTGCAATTGGTATACAAGGCATATCTTGTACAAAAGCCTCCTAGCCACAGTTTCTAACTGCTTCCCAAGCAGAAGTTGCAAGTCTCACAGCCACTGCCTGTGGAAGTGTTACATCACTGAATGTCAGAGATAACAAAGAAAGACCCAAGACTCAAAATCACTCCATCTTGCTGGAGTTCAGCTGGAGCTAGTTCCTCCCCATCCAGACCCCCAAAGTTTTCAGGCAATGAGTCAGATGCATGCAAGAGTCTGTTACTATAACTTTATAATAAAAGTAGAATTAGCTTGTATATCTTTGGTTTCAAGATTAATCTATCTTGGAGAGCTGATGATAGGTCATTCACAAGTGTGACCAATGCCTTCTTTGTATTACAATTCAAACTGAATCCAGACTGAAAAAGATGCAGGTAATTCATTTCATTCAGGGCCCTCTTGAGTAGGGAGTTCACCACCAACTCCTTTGAGGCTGGCGGAACCATCCCCTCCTGCAAAGAGGCATTAACCATTGTCTGGACACTCAGGAGTCCTTGACCAACTAGGAGGGGCATAAATCCAGAACATAAATAGCCAGGTTCACTGATTGGCTCAAACTCCTCCCAGAGATCACTTCCTAAAGGATCTGTCCAGCCAGCACCATCAACAAGTGAAATAAACTGACTTTCTCTGACAGATGCTGAGTACAATATATTCTCCAAAATTACTCTGCAAGAGCTTTCATGGCTCTTCCTTCCCAAAGAAGGACATGGCAATCCGAAACAAGACTGCTGGCTGGCTATCTGCAGATGTGATAAGAGCAGAGTACATTTGCTTTGCTGCCCTTATTGCCACAAAGTACATCATAATAAAGGCTCTTATCTGTGCTTGGTTGGCTTTACTTTTCATCTTTCACTAGCAAAGTTCTAGGCAGCACTGTATCGCTTTGTCTTCTACAGTTCCTTAGTAAATCATGAAACTCTATATGATCCATAAACAAAAGGAGTCCACACTAGTGTGACCCGATCCAGATGCCTATCACATACTCATTACAAGCAATGACCAAGACTTCCACCAATCCATGCACCAGAGCTTTGGGGTAAAATCCAAGCTGCTTTTGAAATCCAATTGGGTCCACCAGTTGCCTGGTGCCAGTTGCCAATCGAATAGGCCCCACTTCAGTTAGAATAGATATAGTGGCAAAGAAAATTTCTAAGACATGGAACAGTCATGGATGGATATAATTATCAATCCCAAACTAAGTACAAAATACAAATTAATTAAGGATCCTCAATCAAGAATGAAGTCACCATTACTTGGACCGAACTACATGTCATGTGAAGGGTGTCCATGACTAGCAAACAGGGACAGGGAGCTAATGCACAGCTGGACACACGCTCTTAGAATCTATTCATTTTTTTCTAAAGATCACTAGATCAAATTCCTACATTAACACAGCCAAACCTTGATTCAGATATTTCAAGAAGACCCAGTTAGAGTCCAACTCTGATACAAGGGTAAAATCCCCCATTTATTCTAGCTCTTACTATTCATGTTTATGAAATTTGGTAAGGAAGCACAAAAATGTAACTTAAACATGCTGAATATTTCAAACTGTAAATGAACCACATATTCAAGCACGTGTTTAAGGAAACGGGAATGAATTTTGTTAAATCACACAAAGAAGGCAAGCGATGGACATTTTTCAATTAACCATCTAATGTGCTTAGAAATTTTCATTCACTGTACTGTTTAGCATTCACAATGTATTTAAAACACAACAGAAATAACAAGCGTATTTTATATGAAATTTCTAGAGAAAAAGAACTGCTGACTTCTATAAAAGCGTAACTTCAACATGCATTTTTAAGGCCACAGTCAATATTTTCAAAACTTTTAATTATACTCAAACAGCTGGCAGCATAATTGACTCAAAGCCCTAGATTACCTTGATTGCTGTGTCATTATCTCTAATCAGCTGCTGCTTCTCATCTTCAAACTTTTGTAAAACATCTTGCAGACGCCTTTCTCCAGCAAGTTGCCGCTGGTTGCTTTCCTCTGTCAGAGAGGAAATGGTTGTCTTAAGTTCAGTTATGATCTAAAAAGAAAACAGCATGCTAAAACTATTGCAACAGAAAGAAGTTATACATTTTGCAATGTGTTTATCATTGACACAAGAATTTGACTTGCCAAACTCAACTGTTATGTGCCAGCAAGCAGAAAATTCTACAGAGAGAAAGGAACATTGAGCTTGGAATAGCATAAACTGCTAACAAAAACATTTAGGGGAAAATTTTCCACTATGAAAGTTCCTCAATAATCTGCAAACCAGAACAAAGCACACTTGTTATGTGAAAAACAGCAAATATAGGATTCCAATTTTCCACTTTACTGTAATGGTTTGAAAACTGACAGTCTGCACGTATACTGAGAAATGCAGCAAAGAGAATATTGAGTTAACCACCAAAGAATGAAAATGTATATTATTGCACATTATACTACTGTATAATGTATAGCCAGTCTGCCTTTTTTGCGTGAGAGAGACTAGTTATCAATACATTCATTTAGCCATTTGCAAGCAAATTTTCCCCAGTAATCTCTTCTACCTGCTCTGAACTACATAGCATATATTTAGCACTGCCCTAAAGCAGCATTCATTTCAGTCTCTGTATTACATCTTTGGTGGGCATTCTTGCCTTCCCAAACCATTACTGGGAACTTTTTATAGCTGAGATTCTTTTCTTGAGGGAAACAGTGAAACCCTAGTTTATTTGGTCAGGAGTGGGTAATCTTAATCTACATTAATAAATATTCTTTAAAATATTACTGCCACCATCCCCAAATGATAAACTGAGATTTTTCTTGTAAGGTTATTTCTTTGTTTAATCTGGAAAGATTAACATAAAGGATTGTACTCTGTACTCTTTACATAATCAATTGTGAATGATTAAAACTTTATTTAACAGTAAAGACTTTACCAGATTTATTGAGATGAAAAGGGTTTCAGTTTGCAACTAATATATCTCAGTTTATACTAGACTGAAGACAGCCTTTCTCTGAACTAGCAAAGATGCAAGTCTCTTCACTATTAACAGGGTAGTTTGCCATTTGTAGTGGGATTTAAACCAAATCAGTGTATAAGTATGAGCACATATACACATCTATAAATAGAAACAGATAGAAGAAAAAAGTAGTATAGTTCTTCAATTATAAGGAAAAACTGAGCAACCCAAGGATACATATGAATCCTCCTTGGATAAAAGCAGCAGCAAATAAAAGCTATGCTACCAGATAATCTTTTTCAGAATAAGGTAGAAAAAAGCCATATGGAATTCCTTGTAGATCAGTGTTTTTTAAACTTGGAAATGTTTTTAAAATTTCAATTCCCATAATTCCCCACCAAGTGAACAACCATAATGCAGCCTACATGGTTACAACATTCACAAAAGATTCATGTTCTTAAACAGCAGCAGGATAAGAAAAATCAACTTAGCTGGGGAATTCTGGGAGCTGAAGTTCATACATCTTAAATTTGACAAATTTGAAAAAACACTGTTGTTGATGAAGCAAAAAATGGAACATACGATTTACAGACTGAGTCATCCTCATAGAGGCATGCATGCTGGCTTGAAGGGTCATTTTGTAACAAAAAAGCAAAGAATAATGCATCAATTCTGGATGTCAGAATCCAATTATATTTCATCTCTAGTTATCAACTATAGAAAACACCATTTCTGCCTTCTCTGGATTCTGTCATATGATGAAGGGAAGGGGGTGAACAAAGGGGCTTTATGGCCCTCACTTCCTTTGGTACACTTCAAAGGAACTGGATGTGGATATCACCAAAAGGACTAACCATAACAATGGGGCTATTACCTTCATGTAGTTCTCTCTGAAGTCTCCATCCAGCCGGCAGTAAGGAAAAGGGGGTGGGAGTGTAATGCCTGAGACTGTCGCTGGAAGAAGGGGATGATTGGGTGGGGCTACTGGGGAACCCCTTAAAACCTTGAATGGGACAGCTTGGACCCCAAGTCCTGTCTAGAACGCCTGCAACCATTTTCTCTTAATAAAGGATGCCTGTTGGAAGAATTATTCCAAGAGTTCTTAAGATGCAAAGTGGGGTGGGTCCTTACATTAGACAGGACTTGCAAAATTAATCCACCTGGAAGGGAGACCCTTGCCAGGGGATTTTGCAAAAAATTACCATGTCAGACAATGGAGCAAGAAAGGGGGAAAACTCCCCGGAAAGAGAGCCGCTGCCCCGACCGGAACCTTGCCGGATGTCGGGATCCGAGAGGTCAGATTCCTGAGGAGAAGAAGTGGTAGAGACAAGGGACCACAAGCCTCGCTGGTCAATGGGCGTTGGAAAGAAAAGCGAGTGGGGAAAGGAATCAAGAAAGGTGACCCTGAGATAGGGGGCCAAGCAACCAGAATGGAAGCAGGAGATGGAGAAATCCCTGCATGCAAGTGAAGAGGGAGAAAGCTGGGCACCGTACTCAGACTGGATCCTAGAGAAAGCTATTGACCTGATGAAGAAAACTCTCAGCTCCCTAGGAGAGGAGAATCCTGAGCCCTACGGCTGCCCCAGCTCCTGGAGCCGCAAAGGGAGAGACACCGAGGGGGAAGTGGAACCTGCAGCCCCGGAGACATCTGCTGATCCAGTAGTCCCACCCCCTACCGAACCACAGATGGCAATCTGGACGGAAGACACTACCACCAACAACAGAGGCACCGATCCATTCCAAGATGTCCGCCGTTGGAGGTGAAATTCAAAGGGGAGCCAACACGCTTGGGGTTTTTCCTAACCCAAGTCCTCAGCTACATGGAGGAATACGGGCGGGACATCCCCAGCGACAAAGCCCGCATCCGGATCATGCAATCTGCCCTGGACGGACCGGCCGCAGACTGGGTGGTGAACTTGCATGACTCCAATGCCCCAGAACTCAACGACTTCAACCGTTTCATGTCCTCTCTGAGAAGGCGATTTGAAGACCCCCTGCCTGATCGCAAAGCCCGCGAAAGGATAAAAACGATGAGGCAAGGCAAACGCCCGGTGGCTGAATATACACAAGAATTCCGGGCCATTGCCAGCAAACTGAACTGGCCAGAAAACATCCTCCTTAGCCATTTCAAAGACAGACTAAATTATAACCTATATGACGCTTGCCTGCCCCGAGGGGACCCACACCAACTTGAGGAATGGTACGTCTTGGCAGAGGAAGCAGAGATCGACATATTGAAGAGACACCGCCGAGGAAAACAATGGAGCCGCTCCCCGCCTGAGTTGACACACAAACCAGCGAAACCATTGGCTACAGCCAAGAAGCAAATGGGGTGTTTCAAGTGCGGAAGAGAAGGGCATCGAGCTGTAGAATGCCACTCCAAAGCCCCCCAGCACAACCCAGACAGATCCCCAATCAGCAAATCCGGAAAGTCTTCAGCTAAGCCAAAAGAAACTGCCATGAGAATGATGGAAATTGTGGAACCCCCCACTTCTGCTCATCAGGGGGAAAGAACTCCAGCCTACAATGCAGGGCCGGTGGACGCCTCAGGTGACAGCTCGGAGGGCGAACCCCTGGTAAGTGGACGCATTGCACCCATCCTCAAGACAGTGACTATATTAATTCCCCCCATGCCCGAAGCCGTGAAGGTGAAAGCCTTAATAGACTCTGGCTGCACCCGCTGCCTCATTAGCCCGACACCAGTGGGGAATCTGGGCATTCCGTCGAGGAGACTGGAACAACCAATCTCATTTGGCCAGTTAGATGGACCAATAGCAGGGGGGGTGCCAGCTACCCTAACCACTTTACCAATACACCTCTCCCTGGGCAAACATGAGGAGGACACAACGTTTGTGGTGACCCCAGGCATGGAATGCCCAATGATCCTAGGGATGGAATGGTTAAAAAAATGGAACCCCTGGGTGAATTGGAGGATGACAGAAATCAAATTCCCGAAAGGGGACCCTATGGACTTAAAACCCCAAGGGAGGCTACAAGAATCAAGAATAGAAAAAGCATCCATGGGAGAGGAAAAGGGACCACCAGAAATATCAGAGGAATACAGAGACCTTGCTGATGTTTTTAGTGAGGAGAGGGCGGATGAGCTCCCCCCCACTGACCCACAGACTGTGCCATTGAATTCAAGCCTGGGGCAAAACTCCCGAAGCCCAGATTATACTCCATGAGCCCAAAGGAGAAGGAGGAAATTGAAAGATTCATTAAAAAAAAACTAGAGAGAGGGTTCATTGAGCCAGCCAAGCCTAAAGTGGCTGCCCCGGTCCTCTTTAGAGAGAAGAAGGATGGCTCTTTACGCTTATGCGTGGATTATAGGGCCCTGAATACAATCAGTGAAAGCAACCTATACCCTCTGCCCCTCATGAAAGACATGCTGTCACACCTCTCGAAAGGGAAATTTTTTTCTAAACTAGACCTAAGGGAAGCTTACTATCGCGTGAGAATTAAGGAAGGGGATGAATGGAAAACCACATTTAACTGCCCCATGGGGTGCTATCAATTCAAAGTCTTGCCATTTGGATTACAAGGGGGCCCTGCAGTCTTTATGCAATTAATCAATGACATTCTAAGGGAGCACCTGTTTAAGGGGGTCCTTGTTTACTTGGACGACATTCTTATCATCACCGAAACAAAAGAGGAACATGTCAACCTTGTCAGAGCGGTTTTAAAGAAACTGCGAGCCACCCACCTGCGAATTCCACCAGGAAAGGATAGACTACCTAGGTTATCGCATATCCCCCCAGGGCATTGAAATGGACCCAGAGAAGGTCAGAGCAGTATTAGATTGGGCACCACCCCGCACAAGAAAGCAACTACAAAGTTTCCTGGACTTTGCAAACTTTTACCGCCAATTCATCTCCTCATTTGCCCAGATAGCCTTGCCCCTCACTAACTTACTAAAAACGAAGGGAGCATCCTCAGTAAAACCTAGCCAGCCACTAGAACTCATATTTTCCTGTTTTCTCGCCTAGTACCTTAACCACTTTTAGGAAAATCACACAAGTTTTGAGGATGGGAACCAGACTTAGATTGATTTAAACATCAGTGTCCTGGATATGTTGTTTAAGAACAATTTTGGTTC